GTGCACACACATGGATACTACAGTTGATTATTTCATGGAGGCAGTTCCTTTGCTAATAATTGTGAACTGAGTTAAGAAAAGACTGGCAGACATCAAACTTTTCCTCCTAAAATTGATTCCAGTGTCTGTTGCTTTTGGCTTGTTTAGAGCAGTGATTCTCAACTTTGGCTAGCTGATCATCAGAATCACCCAAGGAGTTTTTTCAAAATAACTTACCTAGGTCTCTCCCACCTCCCAGATTATGACTTAGTAGCTGCAGTAGGAACCGGGTGTTCACATGTTCTAAAAGCTAGAGAGGCATTTCTGATGTATGACCAGACTCAAAAATTACTATTTCAAAACTTGCCCTGAGGTTATAAAGAATTAATCTTATAGAGCATATATGAGTACTTTACACCAGAGAATACTCATCCTGGGATCATGTATATTAATACTACCTTACATTTATAAGGCACTTTTTATTTGGAAAGAGGTTTGCAGTCATCTCTTTTGGACTAGGTTTGCATGCTGGGTGACCTTGTACAAATCACATAATCTCTTCGTGTCTTACATTTCCTCAAATGTAAACTGTAGGCAGTAAGACTGACCCAACCTCAAAGGTAGAGACTAATGAGAAACTATAAGGCATTTGGCAAACATAAAAATGTTACATGCATCCTTATTAGATACATATGAAGTCCAAATCAGTCCACAAAGTGAAACAAAAACCAACATAAATTCTAAACAAAACTAGCTGTAACCTTTACCAAAACCTAAAAGAACCTTTCCCAGCACCAAAGTACAATTTCCCTTTTCCACTACTAAGCAGATGCAGTCAGAAAGACAGAGCTAATGACAGCAGTAAATAAGTATATGGAACAATCCTGAACTACATTTTGTTACCTTTCTCTTATTTAATGTCATTAAAAATTATATCCATAAGTAAACTCTACTGAAAAATACTTTTGGAAAACATTTGTATGTGTTCACATAAGTCTTAGAGTTGATGCTGCATACTCACTGTTGATGTTAAGCCTGAAGTTGCTTTCTAGCTTACTGATGGTTTTTGCTCAGCTTTGATTAGCTTCTTCTCATCTCCCTCAAGTGGCTGAAAGAACATGTAGTCAAAATGAGACCTTAGACCTATTTCAATTTGGGAGGAGTCAGAATAGGGAGAAAGAGGAAGAGTTTCCAACACTGGACCAAAAACTTAGGGCTCATTTGTACTATAATCTCAGTTGTGGAAAAGAGGCAGAAAATTGACATGACTTTTCCTTTTTGCTCTGAAGAACTATAAAAGTTTCAAGGACCAGGTCCCTTTACATATTTTAATTTTTTTTTTTATAATTGGTTTCTCTGACCCTGAGTGAGAATTAATGCCCTCATACCCAACCACAGCTAAGTAAGCATGACCTTTCCAGGCCACTTGACCTTGACCAGGCTCTTTTCTATTTGGGCTTCTGAAGGTTTAGATCAAATTCCCAACGGTAGCTGTCTGCTTGGTTAAGCTCAGGACCTCGTCAAAATTAAGCTGTATCTCACAAATATGTATTAAGTACTATGTCTGTGGATAATACTATGTGGAACACACTATAGGAGCTACCAAGAGTCTCATAAGATAGTTACAGGGTTGCTATAGTTCAATGACCTTAGGCCCCCGTGTCAAGACAAAACCAACAACTTTCCTACAGAGACTCATGGGATTCGGTCAGCTAACAGCTAACATGATTCTCTTAGGACTCTGAGACTGACCTTTGACAGACACTAAGTTAAAATGTCACTTAGCTTTCCACACATTTTCTACCTGCAGTAATACCCTATTAGACATTGATCAAAATTCAGACACTCCTGTGAAAAGACCCTCAATGTATGGAACATCTTTATTTGGGGAAATGATGTACTGTGCATTGTTATTTTTTTTTTTTATAATTATTTATTTATTCATACAGAACTGGGGTACAGGCCAGAGATGCGGAGGGTGAGAGGATTCACCAGGGACAGAGTGGGGAGCAGAACAGGCAGATCGACGAAGTACACTGCCGAGGGGAGCAGCGGGCGGGTCAGGAGAGGTCTGCCACGCCATGTGGTCACCTCCGGGGCAGGCGGGAATCGAACTCATGCAGAAGCGGCTTTAGATTCTCCGTGCAGTGCTTTAACCCGCTGCGCCACCAGGGAGGGCCACATTGTTATTTTTTAAAGATTTATTTATTTATGTGTACAAGAACTGGGGTACAGGCCAGAGGTGTGGGGGGCTCAGAGGATTTACCAGAGACAGAGTGGGTAGCAGAACAGGCAGATTTAACTGAAATACACTGCTGAAGGGAACAGCAGGTGAGGCAGGAGAAGTTGGCTGTGCCATGTGGTTCACCTCCCTGGCTGGGGTTCGAAGTTGTGCTTCAGTGGCTACAGATAGCTTTATAGCTTCATGGTGGCTACAGACAGCTTCAGATAACTTAACCCTTTGCACAACCAGGGAGGCCCCAATTATTGTTTTTTACATAAAGTTAATTCCAGCATGTTTCTACTTCAACAATCTTTGAGAGATTCATCATTTTCGCTGAACATCTTAAATGAAGAAAAAGACACATAGGTTTCATTTTAATAGGAGAAATTTATGTTAATACATGCCTTCAGTGAGATTCACTTAAGTATCCTGAATATTTTCTTCCATGAACATAGAAAATCCCCAGAAGTGTTTGTGTGTTTTTCTTCTGTAAAGAGATGCAAATGGTTATAATTAGTCATATGATTTCCCCTGAGTCTTTCAAAGTTCTGTTTTTTTAAGTACCCCCAAGATAAGCATCCCTACTTTATAGCCCTAGAAATCAAGACATCATGAATTATTTTTATTCCTTCCCTCAATGGAACACAAGCCATAGCTTCCCAGGCTACTGCCCTCCTTGAAATCAAAAGGAAAGGTCATGGCATTTTAAGATAGAGAAGAAATTTTCTGGTCTAGTGCTTGTTTTCTCCATCTTTCACAGGGGATCCATAATTTCTTAAGATCTTAAATTAAATTTAATCATGTTAACTTTATATGTCAACTTTATTTTCTCTCAACTTCTAAAGGAAGTTTTTTTTTTAGTTCTAAACATTTTTTTATTTTACTAAACATTTTTTTTATTTTACTAAATGTTTAGTTCTAAACATTTTTTTTAATTTTTCTCCACATCCCAATGTGGAGAAACACTCAAGTATTTACTCATAAGTCTCTATGACTTGGATCATAAACTACAGTCTGGACCAAGCCAAACAGGGCACTAGAGGGCTGAGCAACAAGGAGAACATTGTGGATTGGATTTAGGATTCTGAAATGCTCCATTTTGATAGCTTTCTATTTGTATTCATGCAGGTCAACACTGGGCTGTCATTTGTGGTAGATATTTGCTCTAGAATACTTTCCTGACTAATCGGTGTCAGGGATTTTCAAACAAATGTTTCGACAAAACCAGATCAATGAGAAGAACCCTATTTAACAGATGTTAAAATTTTTACTGTTTTAATTTCTGTGGCTTAACTACCCACCCACCTCCTTAGTGCATCTCTTTATTTTGTTATAGGAAGATTTAAATAAGCAATCTGTTTCCTTTCTAAATATTTCTGAGTTAATAATACTTTTCTCACTTGTATTTTAATCCTGATGAGTAAACAGTAAAAATGCTAATTAGTAGCTTGTATCTGAAGAGAAAAAGCTATTTCTTGATGGGTAAAAATTCAAGATGAGGTAGAGAATTCACAGGGCACTAGCACAAATGGGCTAAATTGCACACTGAAGGAAAAAGATTAGGAACTGAATTGACCAGTTCCTTACACCAGAGAGAGAGCTTCTATTGTAGTGGAAAGACTTAGTTGAGGTCAGAATGTATTAAAAATACCCACAAACTAAAGTTATTAAAGTATACACATTGTTGTTAATTGCAGGTCAGGAAAAAAACAAAACAGAAGAAACCCTCCCCCTTTTCTTTTTACCCTGGAGCTAACGATAGACATTAAGTACCGTATAGGTTAAGGAGTTAATTTCATTGTTCAACTACTTACTTAAGTAGGGTGATGGAAATATTAGGTGGGTATCCTAAGTATACTGTCCAGAATCTGTACTCATTCTTTCCATAAATAACCATGAATAAGTTCAGGGTCCTGCTTGTGAATTCTCTCTCTCAGTTATCAATAACATGACTGTAAGCAACTCTGAATCTCTAGATATGCTGGTTTTTCATACACTTAAGAAGGAGGCCCTCCCTGGTGGTGCAACGGGTTAGGACGCAGCACAGCAAGCTAACTGCAGCCGCTTCACTGCAAGTTCGATCCCCACCCTGGAGGTGGTCCACATGGTGTGGCAGACCTCTCCTGATCTGTCTGCTGCTCCTCTCAGTAGTGTACTTTGCAGATCTGCCTGTTCTGCTCCCTAATCTGTTTCCGTGTCTCTGGTAAAGCCTCTTACTCTCCCTGTACCTCTGGCTTGCACCCCAGTTCTGTATGCACAAATAAATCTTTAAAAAATATATACTGAAAAAGAAGGAATGATAATATATATTTTGGTGGAATGCAGTAGTTAGCTAAGTCATGGTATGAGAAAACACTTATAGATGAAGCATGTATTAGCACACAGCACATGTTAGAAAATAAATGAATGGGAAAAGTCAAAGATGACTTCAGTCCCTATTGCTCACAGGCAAAACTATATGTATATTTAAGGTTGGCATTCAGTGCCCTAGAAAATCTGCTTTTCACAACTCTAGCCCTTTCTCCGTAACTACTTAAACATTTGACTATATAGTTAGAATTTGCCCAGCTTCATGTCTCTGTCATTCCCACTACCCACAACCCCCATTTGCCAAAGTTCCACCCATCTCTTAAAGGACCTCAAATTACCATCTCTAGGAATTTTAAAGCATTTCCTTCCTCTCTCAATCTTGGTCTTTGCTGTTTAAAGAACTCTTGGAGACATAATCCACAAACTGCTTACAGTCCCAGAAGACCACAAACTCCTGAAAAGCAGAAGCCATTTATTTAATACCCACCTCTGTGTGCCACAGACCATGGTGCCTTGCCAAGAGTAGGTGCTGAATAGACTCATGATTGAATGAATGCAGGATTTCTCCACCTGCCCCTGTTGTGCTCTTGGACAAAACACTTTGCCTCTCTCAGTCTCCGTTGCCTCAGCTGTGAACAGAGGATAACAGCATGGGTATACTCCCCAGGTGTGCTGTGAAGAATAAACCAATGACTGAAAAGCAATTTGAAAATGTAAAATGAAATGCTACATATAAATGTGACATAATCAAAATCATTTCTCTCTGTATTATGTTTTATTTGGCTTTATACCTTGGAATCCTTTGTGGGATTCAGAATTTCACAGATGCAATACCATCCACATTAGCACCTAAATTCTCTTGGGTAATAAATGATTGTGTGTATTATAGCTCACGGCTACTTTTCCCTGGCATACTTAAATGTGAATCTGTCATAATTTGGGTTATTCATAATACCTAATGATACAATTCATTTCTGAGGGATAATCCATTTTTTCCTTCTTTGGCTGGCCAGTTATCTTCACATATTGCTGCCTCATGGGACCTCATATCTACTACATCTAAAATCCAGATGATAAACACAAATTTTATTTTAGAAGTTCAAATTTTTTTAGGAGCTTATAATCTGAGACCTGGAAAGTGGTCTGTGATTTTGAAATACAACTTGCTTTCTATGGCCCTTTTTGTCCCAAACTGTGAATCCCTCACTTGCTTTGTTATATGTGTTTTAATGATCACTGCAGTTTGATTTCCTAGATACTAAGAAAGGTTAAATTAGCCCTTTCCATATCAAAGTCAGACAAAGCTACTTTAAAATGCTATTTTCTTTCTTAATATGTTCAAGAAAGAGATTGCCTATAGAAAATAAATTTTCTTAGAATATCTCCAGTGCTATAAAAAGACACTTTGACTTATAATGCATAGCAGGATATTATTCCTAGAATAGTTCTTACAAGTAGACAGATACTCTGAGGAAAAGATAGCAACATCACAGGGGTGCTGTGAGGATCAAGGAAGTCATTAGATGAAAAGGCTTGAAACAGTGCACAGCACATAGTAAGTACTCCATAAATATTAGGTACTGCTATTATCATTAGAAGGCCCACTATGAGCCCAGCCCTTAGGAGTTACATAGAGCTTCTTGTTTGAATTCAGAATAAGCCAGTGAGAAAAACCTGATCACTTGCTATCCTAAGCCCTTTTGACTCAGAGAAGCTAGCCAACTTGTCCAACCATCTTGTGCAATTTGTCCTTGTCTCAAAGTCAAGAAGCAAAGGAAAAAATCCAACCCTCATTCTATAGTGTTTTCAAAGTCCATATTCTTTGTCTTGTTTCTTCTAACTCACTACTGTTCTCATTTTTTTTTTTTTTTTGACTGAAGCTAGCAGTCTATTTTTCCACCCTGTGCATATGACTTTTCCTTTCCATGTGACTTACTCCTCAAAAATTTTTAAGAGTACATTTTACCTCTTCTAATGGACTTTTGACCAAGTTGTCCATAAGGACTGTTCATATCAGGCCTTTTCCTCAAGAACATTCTAGACTTTCACCAGATTTATCCTTACAGAGTAACATCATTTTTAAGAAGTTCAGTGTAGTTTTTCTTCTGGAGTAGGTATGAGGAATCCCAGGTATATGTGGAAGAGGATTTCCCCCTCTACATTCACTTCTGTTACTACAGGTTTACTTAGTTGGACCTGAGGCAACACAGCTCTCACATGGGGCAGTTGTGTTTTCATTCAAATGCAGTGAGGTATCATTATGTTGTATTATCACCAAGAGAAATGATAATATGTAAGAGTAATATCTGTTACAAAAGTATTTCCTAGCTGTGGTTTACAAACTAACTTCCATACTTTATTTTGCCAAAAACACGTACATACTTATAGTCTATACATTAATCATATTTCAAAGTGTCTGATCATTAGCTATTTCCTACTTCATGAACATGATCAGAACTATCACAATTGGAGAACTAAGGTATACGGAAAGGTTAATGGTTTGCACAAGGTCTCAGAATGGGTCTACAGCACAGATAGTAGCAGTATGTGCTTTTCTGATTATATATCATTGCTAAGGACTTTAGCTCATCTTGAGTTCAAATTTGGAATAATTTTTTTTTTAAAGATTTATTTATTTGTGCATACAGAACTGGGGTACAGGCCAGAGGCTCAGGGGCGGTGAGAAGCTTCACCAGAGACAGAGTGGGGAGCAGAACAGGCAGATCTACGAATTACACTGCTGAGGGAAGCAGCGGGCGGGTCAGGAGAGGTCTGGCTCGCCATGTGGTCTCCTTCGGGCAGGCGGCAGGCGGGAATCGAACTCATGCGGAAGTGGCTTCAGATTCTCAGTGCTGTGCTTTAACCCGCTGCGCCACCAGGGAGGGCCAAATTTGGAATAATTTTTAAAGTGAATATATGTCCAGAGAGGTGACAGAAATGGCACAGGTGGAAGTTTACTATTCATTTCAGTAAAGCTTTTAAAATATTTGGTAGTTAACAAAGATGATCCTTTTCTTCATTTCTATTGATAGAATAAAAGGCCAAAGATCCAGGCCCTCCCTGGTGGCTCAGTGGGTTTAAGCACTGCACTAAGAAGCTTAAGCCACTTTAGCATGAGTTTGATCCCCACCTGCCCTGGAGGTGACCACATGGTGTGGCAGACCTCTCCTGACCCACCCACCCACTGCTCCCCTCAGCAGTGTACTTCGTGGATCTCCCTGTTCTGCTCCTCACTCTGTCTCTGGTGAATCCTCTCACCCTCCACATCTCTGGCCTGTACCCCAGTTCTGTATGAATAAATAAATTTTAAAAAAAAAAAAAAGGCCAAAGATCTAATGAGATTAAAATGAATAGCAATTGTAAATGTAAAGAGCAATTGTTTAGATCACACTATTTTCCTATTTCAACATTTTTTTCTTTTTGACAGTTAGTATTGCTACAAATGCATACGTTTCCAGTGCTTTGTAACTATCATCATGGTGTCCCCCTTAAGCAGCTAAACATAATGGGATGATTCTGCCACTGCTGTTTTATGACAGGGAAAGCAAGGGTAAACAGAGGTTAAGTGACTGCCAGGAACACTCACCAAGGCAGCTAGCTGCTCACATTAGAACCCAAGGCTCCTATCAATCACATCCCATTGAGATTTAGAAGGTTCCAAAATATTGTTTCAGTGTCAGAGTTGGGTGAAAACCTGATGGAAATTTGCTCACCACCCATAGGGACCGGTACTGCTTCCACTGCTCTCCTCAAAATCTTCTGATTCCCAAACTTCCTCAGTTTAAACATCAATTTAAGGGAAAATCTGCTTTCATATTAATAGATTAGAACTAAACAAGTGATTTCCATATCTGAATTTCCATGGCTTTCTTTTCTTTTCTTTTTTCATACAGCTAGGACTATAATAAGCTCTTAGCAAGTAGTACTTATTGTTTTTCCTTAGAAAATGAATATAGCATGGTCCAAACTCAACAGATTGTTAGGTGGACTGGCAACTAAAGGAGTCATTCTGTGTCTGAGTTGGAAGATGTCAAATAACAATTATAGCAGAAGATGGCATGGACATGAGTGTTGTTTAAATATATCCCCATCTCTCCCATGTCAGCCATGGATAGTCATGTCTGTATGAGAAAAACAGAAAACTTTAGAAATCAGAACATGGAAGCCACTTGTTTAATTCTAACTTACTTGAAATGAAAGGAACTGTACTTACTTTTTTCATCATTTAGCAACTACTACAGAAAGTACAGTCAAGAGCCAGTGTTTGGCTTCTATCACCAAGATGATTTTTAAAATAATTACTAGAATCTGTGTAAAGCCTTCACAAGGTACTTATATGATAAAAATTGTTGGGGAAAAATTTTAGTTTCACCCAGGAGTAGGAAAAAAAACTAAGGAAAAAAATTAAAAAACTAAGAAAAAAAAAAAAGGAAATTTATTTCTCCCCTTATCCCTTATGCTATCATCCTGACCTGAGGAGAGACCTGGCGTATATTCCACTCACCTTGTCTATATTTAATACTTTCTGGGCAAAGGCTATTCTCCTAAGCCACTCAATACCATATTCAGCAATTGTTAGAACTGAATCCAAAAAAACTGGCCTCCTCACCTATACCAGTCCTTTGGCTCATGAGATAAGGAACAGTTTAAATATATTCAATTTCTGCAACACTGATATATTTTTCAGGACCTACTAATGACTATCCAGACCCTGATTTTCTTGTCTGACAGCCTATCTTACAGACTTCTCCCCAATGAGGAAGGGGGCTGAGGAGATATAATTTGAAATTCAATCCAGACCAAAGCTCACTTCAGAGCTGCATCTTGGGCCTTTTCAGTCATGGAACAGTAACCTGTTTTCTTGCTAGTGACCATCTTCATAACTTGTTCATGAGGGGCGGGAGGTTTGAGCTTGATGCAGGCCTTTCTAGGGGCTAGGCAGGCACTGAAATAACATCTGTAGAGGTCCATAATCCCATGATATGCTGAACAGGTGCCGAAAACCTTTAGGACTTCAGGGATCTAGGTGAGAATAAGGTTAGTGGTGAAGGAGAGTGTCAGGTTCTAGGATGCTTGACGAGTTCCTGACATGTTAGTTCATTTTGCTAACATGGGCTGAGTACTACCTAAGGCAGATGCGGCCCCACCCAGCGTTTACAGTCCAGGACTTGTTTACATTCTAGACCTCAGGGTGGAAAACAACCCCCAATCTGCTTTTGGAGTCCACATACCCACAGATCCTTAGGAGTGGGTGCTGCTGCCAGGAGAAAAGGTCTGAAGCAGTCACCCATTAACAACACAAGCAGTGCGCCAGGAAGGGCTCTTCAGGAGCCACTCCGCTGAGACCGACCCATAAAGGTCACCACGGGGGCCTCTGAGCCCATCGCCTCCCTTCCAAGACAGGGACTTCTGAAGGGAAGGGGCGGGGAGAGAGAAAGCCGAAGGGGACAGACCAACGATAGAAGGAACGGTTCCGGCCCGGCCTTTGAGTCTAAAAGGACTGAGCAGCGGGGGGATGCTCCCTGTGGGGAGTGTCTCGCTAGCACCCGGGAGCATAGGCGCCGGTTCAAGTCCCCTGCTGCCGGTGGTGTCAGGGCAAGGGTGAGGAAGGAACTTTGCCGGAGGGTTGTGGAGACCGGGGCGCCCAGAGCTCCAAGTCCTGAGCCAGGCTCACCCTCTTTTGAGTCTCGGTTTCTTCGGACTGTACGAGCTCCTCTGGGGAGCCAAGTCGTGCGCCTCAGGCGGGCGCCGGGTGCGGGCGTTGTCACCCGGTTTCGGGACGCGCTTCGGTTGGGCTTGCAGCTCCGCTATCTACGACCCGCGGCGGCTCCGGGGGATCCGCAAGCACCAGGTTTCTCTCAGTCACGGGCCTTTCCAGACCGCCACGTCCTTCCTGAGGCGCAGGAATCCCGCCGCAGCCGCCCTCACAGCGCGAGCTGCAACCCCAGCTCCTCAAAGCCGCCAACTTCCCAGCCGCCGGCGCGTCTCCCCGCCAGCCCAAGGCCACGGACTATTGGACCACGGCTATGGGGCGGACCCGAGCGGCTGGCAACGCCTGCGGCCGCCTGGAACCACGCGCCACCACGATTGGCGGCAGATTCAGTCAGTCACAGGTGGTGGGGCGCCCCGCCCCTTGTGGGCGGTCCCCGGTATCACTCCGCCCCCTCCGGCGGCCGGACCCCGCCTCCCTCCTGAGCCGGTCGCCTCAGCCCGGCAGTTCGCCTCATTTGCTGAGCAGGTCCTTGAATTGTTGTCGCGCTCCAGGCGGCTGCTGAGCCAGGGCTGCCGCCGGGCTTGCCCTGCTTCTTCTGAGGTACCAGACCAAGTCAATGTGCCCCGGTGCGCTGGGGCCAGAACAGCCGCCAGTCGGGGCAACTTGGGATTCGGTACCCGCACCAGGGGCGTCGGTTTGCTACCTGGACTCCGCGCGAAGGGTGAGTGGCGGCGCGCAGAGCGAGCGGCTGTTCCCTGCGCTGTTGGGCTGCCTGGGAGCCGGGGAGTCAGACGCGTCCGGGTACGAGTCGGTCTGTCAGTGGGAGTGTGGCCGCTGTGGGGAGGTCAAGGCTAGGCAGTATTTACCCACTCCCGAACTTCTTGTTTCGAAGCGTCGCAACTCAGCTCGGGACGCGGCTCTCTGTCTGCAAGAACTTGTCGTATGGTGATTACCTTCATTTGGTGGGGCCGGGGGACGCGTCCCCTGACCCTCTGCGGCGTGACACGCGCGCTGGGGGCGGCCTCAGTGCCCAGTGGTGCACGGACAGCAGTTGCTAGATGGCTTGCGGCTGGGTTCCTGAAAAATTAGCCCGCGCTGGAGCGGGTGCGGCAGGATAGTCCGGCGGGGGTGTCTGATCCTGAGTCTGAGCCAGCAATCCCCGCGTCCCGGGGGGATGTAGGGGGGGCGGGGGGACTGCGTTGGTCGGAGAACTTAAGTGACCCGTCGGGTTCTGTAACAGCAGGAGCTTCAGTGTTCCAGTACAATTATGGCAGTGAAAACCATTGACAGCACGGATATTAAACTTTGTAAAGTAATTGCTTCTCTCATGAGATCAGACCTCCAAAGCCATCCGCAAGGTGTGTACAAAGGACTTTGTTGTTCGGACCAGGGGGGACCTTCTATCTGTTCAAGTTACCGGAGCCCGGGAGAATTCAGGACGAGTTGTGAAAGGAACAACCAGGCCGATCTGTTGGTGTTTTGTTTGAGCATCTGCGTGTGTAAGTGATGAAGTTGTGACAAGAACTGACAACAGAGGACTCAAGGTTAAACCTGACACCGTTCGTTTGTGGCTTGGTCTGGGGTAGGTTCCCCAGCCCCCCCTTTCAATGATAAGGATAAAAGCAGCTGGTTTGTTTTTGTTTTTGTTTTCTCTCCCTCTGTGTACCATTACATATAGTGTAGTTTATTACGTGTAGTTTTGGGAAAATTAGAATTGAATGCAATTTCTTTCCTTTGTGATTTTCATTAGATGTGAATGAGAACTTATTGAAAGTGCCTGGTAAGATTTGGGTACAGAATTTGAGGTTATTTTTATCTTTGAAAACGTTGAGACATGCCGCTATTTTATGCACATATACATGTGCATATGTGTGTGTGCACTTGTATGATATCTGCTAGATGAATGAAATAGAAATTCAAGGCTGAATTTTCCCAGGGTGAGGAGATGGCCCTTCTAGGCTGTGGGGTGTATGGTGAGTGACTCTGTGTGTATGTAAGTATGTCTGGATCTGCCTGCTCTGTCTGGGTCAGTGTATGTCCATGAACTTTACGAGCGTTCAGTTCAATACCAGTGGGTGCAGATTCCGCGTTCCTGTTTTACAGCCCAGCAGCCGCCAGCCAGCCCATCTGTTAAAACATAACATGTAGGCTTCAGTCAGAGCGCTAGGGTAGAGCGTGGGTAGGGGGTAACCCTTAGTAGAAACAACATGCTACAAACAAAGCCTGCCTGCCTCTCAAGTTCTATTTTCATTCAACCTGAAATTGTGGTTTTGGTAAAGGAGAAAAGGAGTGTTTAACTCCTCAGAAATGGCAAGCTACATTTTGTGAAATGATAGCCGAGGTTTGGGAAGGCAGAGCTTAAAGGAGGGAAAAAACACCCTAGATAAAAAATGTGGTGCTTGTCACAAAACCATGCAATACTGGTTTATTGCTTTGCAGTAGCATGTATATCAAAAACTGTTTCTTTTTACTTCTTAAGCAAAAGGATTCAAACTGAATTATTTTACACACCCACACAAGCCTTAATAGAAATAAAGGACTTTGTAGAGGCTACTTAATCCACTAGATTTAAGGCTACCTTCATAATTTTGATGAAATATATTTTTTAGGAATTTATAACTTGGATGCAAATTCATATTCAACCTAATCACTAGTTGCAATGGTTCACAATCTGTAATTTTAAAATAATAAAAAACCTTTATCACAAAAATTCTGATGACTCAAAGGGTCTGGGAGGATTATAACAGCTTTAATAAGTTCCTGCAGCCAGTGACTGATACTTAAAAAAACTATAAATTCCTTTAATAGCATAATTAGTTTTGGTGACAAAAAAAGCAGTATTTTGTTTTTGAGAAGTATAGTTGATATTTCCCCAGTAATTTCATGCTTATAATTATATTTTAATAATGGTGTTCATTATATGTAGGCAGAAATGAACTGGGAAGTTTCTTAAGAACCCATCAAAAGAAATATTATTTTTATTTCTGTGGTACTTAAACATTTGGAATATCTGTAAATCCCTAATCTATAAATATCTTTAAATTTCTAATGGGCTAAAATTAGAAACAATAATTTCCCTGACTCGCTATACATCATCTGACTCAACTGTGGGTTGCTTCTTAAAGTTCAATTCATGAACAGAACTCATCTCTGAGATTCATTTTAGGAGTCTGGGGTAAGGTGTAGGAATCTGTATTTTTAGCAGGCATCCCTAAGTGATTCTGATGCTAGGGATTCCCTCATTGTATTTGAAGAATCACTGGTATGGTATTTATAATACAAAAGAACAACTGTAGTCTATGAGTTGATTTAACACATAATTTTTCCAAATTTTCTGGGTGGCACCTACTGGCCTTATAAAATTTATAGGTAATGCTTTAGCACGCTGTCCAAGACAGTGGCATTTTTTGTCCTGTATTCAGAAGTGTTTTTGGATGCTTCAGTTGGAGTCCTAGGTGAACCCCCAACTCAAAGGAAATCTGGGAAACCAAGGTAATTGAACACTCCCTCCCAGTCCAGTGGGCTTCTGTGATGCCTTTGCTAGTTCTAACATATCATTGGGCTTTCCTCCCTGAAGGGTAGGAGAATCTCAGTCTTTAGGGGAAATCTTTGATTTTAAAGCCCTTCCATGCTTGGGATCTGGAACCTCCATCGGAGTAGATTCATAGATTCATCCTAAGTCACAGATCTCCTTGGGTAGTGGTAGCTTCTTGGCCTCATGTGTGTCCCATGCCACCCAGAGAGTCTCCTTTTCAGAAAGTCAGTTTAGAAGTATTTTTGGAAGGCCTCTATCCACACCATTATACCAAAACCTCTCTTAGAAGTATTTTAACTTGCTCGATTATTTGCTTAGGTAGTTTTCTCAACATCACAGAGTGATGGGTTGAGAATTGATTGCTACTTCTCAAATCTATGTAAATTTTGATTTATTCATTATTGGAAATGAGGATTTTTATTTATAGTTTGAATACTAACATTTGGATATTTTTCTCTTATTTCATACTGGCTTAATTTTCAATTTAAGAGTCCTTTATGAGGTTTAAAGGAAAAAGACTCTACCAGAAATTGTGTTGTTCCCTCTCTCTACCATCCTAAAAACAAATGATTTCTTAGTGGTCCAAAGTACACTGGGAATATATACCTCCCTGATGATACAAGGATGTAGATAGGCAAGGACACTGAACTTGGATTTTGGATTGTTCCAGGCCACTGGATCATTACTGGGACTATTACAGAGTAATTTCTGTTCTAAGGAGCACTTGGCAGTCATGTTTATAGGTCACTTATCTTAACAGTCCTTTGAGTGGGATGATTTTTACCCCTGCATTGTTACAGATGAACAAACAGCAGCCACAAAAGGATAATATTATTTACATTCGTTTTTCATATTCAAAGATGGCACCAGTAACGGAGAGGTTGGCCTTGTGTTTTGAATTGTTTTTATATAGTGGTGTGGTGGTTTGATGGGGTAATGCATAACATCAACAATTTTTCATCTTTTTTTTAATATTGCATGTGATCTTGAAGCAATTTTCTTTATAAAGCTAACCATAAATATTAATTGGTCCAATGAGCTGACCATAACCAACAACCATGACCCAGAATGGTGAATAATTTGCTATAGGTCATGGAATACAATGGCAGTAAAACCTATAGGTAGAATTAATTAGACTAATATTTTAGACCTGTATTGTTTGCCTATTTGAGTCATGTAGTACTGATAATAATGTTTTTACACTAGCAAGACAGAGTTGCTTGTATTTGATTAGATGGACCTAGAAAAATTTAGAAGACTCGAATTATACAATAAGGCAGATGTGTGCCTACTTTAAAAAACTGCAGAATGTTACTGTTCTTGAAAGTGGGCCATAGGTCATGAAAGCTTCTCAGCAACAATTCTTACTTTTCTTCTTTTTCTTAACCATGGCATACTTTTGGTGTCTAATTTTCATTTGACAAATTCTTTTCAAGTTTTTAACCTATCTTTCATTACCCTTATTCCCTTGGCAAATCTATTGATAAAAATACATTTTTCAAGTCACTTTGTCCTTTTAATATCCCCTAGAACTTAAATTTTAGCTACTTTTACTACATTTCTCTTACTACAATGTCCCCTCAAACTCATACTTTTACTGTAGTTGTTTGGGTCTAACAGCAGTCTCTAAAATAGAATAGTCAATGAGCTATAAAAATTGCACACTAAAAAAAATGTCATACTAGTTTTATAATGTTGTAACTTTGTAGATATAACTATAACAAAAGTAGAAAAAGAAAATGAAGAAGGATAACGTTAAAGTCATGCTGATTCATGTATCATACTAGATATTGCCAGCTTATAGTTTCTGTGAGAAATTTAAGCTCCAAATGAATGAAGTGACAGATGTCCCCGTCTGTGGCCTTACAGACACTCTCCTGATACCAGCTGAGAAGTAGAACTGAAGGCAGAGTTTTGGGTTACAGAAGAAAAACAAATGTTAAGCTGAGCTGGCAAAAAAAAAGTGGAGGGTCTAAGGGTAGAATGGATGAGGAAAGTGGTGGGAGAGAAATATCTGCAGTAAAATGCCAGACAGGGTGGTAACAAATTATAGAGGTGCTGAGGGCTTGGGGTTTCTTGGGGCATTGATTCTGTTTTATATTGTCTTCACAACCTGTTCGCTCTGCTTGCTTTAAATAATTTATTATAGCAGTAGGCCTTCCTCTGGTTAGTTGCTTTTTTTATAA